CTCTAAAACGTTCATCCTCAGTATTGCCTGATCTACATTGGCTACAGTGAAAACCCAGAGGAATTTCTTCCTGAACCATAAATCTAGAGATAAAGATTTCTGGTCACATGTCGCGATTTTATTTTTTTGGCAGCTTGAAACGCAACTGGGGATGTTTCCCGACCCAGCTCAGTTTTTTTCCGAGGAATAATACTAAGAGTAGTGCCAGTATCCACTAAGAAGTTCAAGCCAGAGTTTCTGTCTCTAACATAAAACAAACAACTGTTTACGCGCCCCTCCTCAGTTGTCGCGACCTGGATAGGGATTATTCGTTTCCCATATTCTTGGGGTTCCTTTTAGACCAGGCGCATGGTTGCCTGAATTGGTTGAGTTGACGCCAAACCTACGGCGGTACTAACAGAACTATCCAGATTAGCTGAACACTTGTGATTGTTTTGTAACTTGGATTTCGGTCGTTGTTGTGACCTGCTCCTGTTTCTATGAGACATTTCGCATTCTGGAGACAGCCTTATTGTGACTTTTAACACTCTCAATGAGTCTTTTTATGAATGAGTCTTCTGATGGTTGGTTGTTCCTGCGCCCACCATTGCCGACCCCCTCTGAGTGTTACATGCTGAGTTTCAATCTTCTCAGTATTTTTATGTTCAACTTCGAGAATCGCTTGTTTACGAACCAATACCGCTACAAATATTTCATCCATTCACGATCGAGTATAATCCTTACGGAAGCATCTAGGAAATCCCAAATCATGCGCCATGGTTTGGGTCGGATATCTATCTACGTTGTTGCCATATTTAGCAAGGTTTCAGAAATTTCCGGTAGCACACGTTTGTGTGTAACTCTTTAAAAATTCTCGTTTATCGGCATTCGAACAAACCTGGGATGAAGCACAATTATGCACTTGGCACATTTTTTCTTGTTCTCGAGTTGCCATATCTATCTATGCTAGGCTATTAAAGCGTCTAAAAAGTTGAATCAAGTGATTATCAATTAAAAGACATATAAGTACGTGCAGAAGTGACGCTTTCTTCGTCTTCCATCTGTTTATACAAATAGACTAGAAATGATCACACCGTTCTTTTGAATTTAAATTTTCAGGAGCTAAATGGGCTTACTGGACTGACCGAAATTGAGATTGCGTGCCTGATCATAAATACTTTACTGACGTTTAAGGATTCTTAAAAGTAACACGCAAGCTTCTTGAAATTTGTTACATTACACCAAGGATGAAAACTTATTTGGGACGCAAAGTGAAGACTTTTCAGTTTCGCACTACACAACAGGCTTCAGTGTGTAATATTCTGATGTCTAGCTAGTAATTATGCGCCGTCATTTATAGACGTATCCTTATTTTCGTGTAACTCTTTTAGTTGTACTTAATTTATTATCCAATTTATTATTGATTACTCAGCTTTTCTTGCGTTACTTCGACATTAGTCTTCATTTTCTAGAAAAACGTCTCCACCTGTTTAAAGATTTGCCCCCCCTACAATATGCAAGCATTCATCTGATTACACATTTTTACATTCCTTTCAAGAATTCGTATTTTCACAGGTACGACATCAAATTAATCGACCGATCCCAAATATTTATTGCTGGTGTTTGCGGGTTGTACATGATTGTTGAGAACCTGCAATACAGTGAATTCATATCATTTCGCTTTTTGTTCCTAGTTTAGTTCGATCTCATGGCATCCACGTGCTTCGTTAAATTGGTTGTTGAATAGTGATCAATAGTGTCTCATTCCGGTCAACGTCTTTGCGAAACTCAGATCTTCGGCATTTAACTTGTGCGCCTAATAGGTCCTTTATTTGTTTAAGAAAAATTTGAATACAGCCTGGTGCGGATAGTTATGTGATCCCTCTGTCGTCCTCACTCTTATTAAGACCTTTTTTCTTCGGTATCTTGATGAAGCACCTTATTTCAGACTTTCGACATGTTTACAGTTAATTATATGTCTGACTTCAGTACCTAAGCTGGTGAAGCAGTTTCAAAGGCCAGAGTAACTGCCTAACCAGGTGAAGTTGATAAGTTTAAGAAACTACATCTTAGATAGGAGACAACTCTTTCTCATGAAACACAAGTCTGAAGGATGTACCTTCTCGATACCTTGACTGTCAAACAGTTGAAAAATACTTCTTACAACGTGAATTGTGTTCTTTTGTTAATTTGACAAACTGCGCAACACTAAGGATATTCTGGAGCGCTTTTTGGTGTGCTTTCGATTGTACGGCTCTGTTTTCTCATGATGGTTTGTTTCTGAAATATGGTAAGTCAGTCTGACTATCTTCATACAAACGAATCTCAAATGACAAATTTCTTGGTTGTTGCTCCAATATATGTAATGTTATGTCGAAATGAGTTGTGTTGCTTGGTTAGTGGGGATCACAAATGGATCAGCTGTTCTCTTATGTCCGTTGCTATCTTGCCTCTGATAGTAATTTCTTTCATATCAAATTAAGACAGATTTGCCAAACGCTTTTCAGATTGATGCTCTGGCCCTTTACTGAATGATGCCATTCTTGAACAAGCTCGTACACTTTCATAAAACTTTTGTTTGAATATTGAGAAAGCATATTTACACAAGTCTTGATTTTTATTTATGACAGCGTTTTAGTCCATGCTTTTATATCCGCCGTCTAGTTAGCTATCCAACGTCCTGCTGTTGGAACTTAAATATTTATACCCTTAAAGTGTACTATAGCCATCCCATGTGTTTGTGGAAATGAACAATTGAAACCTACTTGGTCACCAGCAGTAATTGCCTTTTGCGTTTGTACTTTTTTGTGCATGAAACGTGCTTGAGCATTAAGACAAGGTATGATTATTCTTTTATTAGTTTTAAGTACTAGGATATCGTTTGGAGATATAGATCAAGTAACTATACTGATAGTACTAGTTAATTTTAACTTATTTTATGATGCCCTACTTCGAGAAGGTACAAAACATCTAACGGAAAATTATTTCTGAACAGTGGGTAAAAACCATGTTTTAGTCCAACCAAACGACGAATTATTAATCATACCTTAGAGTGCTTATCAATAAAAATGGGTGGTTATCAACAAGATGTTTGTTGAATATTTACATTTGTATCAAGAATAGTTGAGGTTTATAAAAACAAATATTCTCTTTGGTTATCTTGTAATATTGGCATATACCAGACACTGCTGTTAATGTCAGAGCATGTGATTATGGACGAAGGTAGACTTGATACACTCGTGCCAAGTTCATCTGGAAAAGGTTAGCGTTCTAGTCATCATAGAAATCCCAATCTAAGAAACCATACCTTGTCTTGGTCTTCAGGGACTGACCTATATTACCTGGAAGTTCACTGAATAACTTAGAATACTTATGATATAGTTCTGTTCGGTGAAGGTGCTGGTATAATGCAGAGTATTATATCCTTAAGTAACAGTGCAAGCACTTAAGGTGTTTCTTCATCTCAATGTGAAATTTTGGTTTCGGACTGATCTGAATAATAACATAGATTAATTGTTGGAAGTGAGGCAGTGTGGTGTACAGACCACTAACCTTGGAAGTCTCTTTGACCCTAGTAAGTTGGTGACTGAAGAAACATTCATACTACAGAAAGCTTAGTTGGCTTTTGCATATCTACATCACTTGTCGCGTAGGTGAGATGTTCGTCTGTCAATCATACGGCGAGTATACTGTGTGTCAGTTAGCTCTGTCTTACTGTATGACCGTGAAACATAGTTCCTGATAATAAAAGATGGATGGACTGAGGATGTTTTGCCGTAAGTGTCTTCAAAACTCCCACTTTATCGTAAAACGATCGACTGAATAATGTTGAGTTTAGCCATAGAGTACTAGGCAAATATGGAAAATCGGTTTATGAGATTATAGATTTTCGACTGACGTATTTAAGACGTGGCACTCATGCTTGACCACTATCTACTTTTACGGGCAATTTTTACCTTTGTAGGAATAGGTCGGAAGAACTGTAGGGGAGGCTACAAGAAGGCGTAGCATCAGAACATGAAATCACTGACTTGTTGTGAATTATGTTGGTAGACGTTGACCACCTGGTTGGAGTCTGCACGATAACTGCGTCCTTTTTTAGACGGGTATAATGTCTTGAGATTGGTAATAATGGCTCATTTGCATTCATTCATTTTACTCTAGATCTTGAGCTTTATTATTCCTTGCTACATATCTTTGTCTTCTCTAACCATGTTATCAATCGCTAGTCTCCCACATTATCTACTACTACAGTATTTCTATTTATAATTTTATGTCATCTTGCTGATGTATTTTGGTCTAACGCATATATGTGCCAAACTACGTTGATTATGACCGACTATTATGTTTCCTAGAATACTTTACTCGTTTTATTCAACTGCCGTAAGACGTTCATGTATTTGCATCATTAACACAATCTAGTCTTTGATTGGTGGGATATTTGTCAATAATTGTCAACTAACTTTCCCATAGTGGCTTGAATCCACAAAATTTGTAATCATAAAACGGTACTCTTCAGCAGTACGTAAATCTATAATTTTTAATGTAGTCTGTCTTGTAGCTTCTGCGATCAATTAGTAATAACTTTAAACTGTTGATATAGCTAGATAAGCCGATCAATCAGTCTACCTGGACTCATTGTCGTATAGTCTCTCAGTACCTAACATGAATAAAAACAGCTCATGCAAAGTAGCGACATTCGCTTCAGGATGGTTTCCTAAGCCATTTGCTCAAAGTAATTACCGTTTGCTAATTAGATACTTGATAGTCATTGGGGGAAACGAACAGTACAGCTGGTTAGTTTTACTTTTGCTGTTGAAACTGTTACTGTTTTTGGGAACAATGAGTAGTTTCATAAAGTTCTTATGGAACTCACTTTTTGGTATTTGGTCCTGTTCATTCGCTTTCCAATTCTGTTTGCGATTTTAATTTAAGAACTAACAGTTCCGTGCTGCTTCCACACAATAACTAAAATAATTCTTATTTGGTAGCTACTCCGTTAATTCTGCGTGTCCTGTTCAATGTCAGGAAGCCTCATTAGTCAGCGTGAAGAGCAGCCAGTGTTGGTCCTTACCTGTCAGCGAGATTCACACCCTTTTCAGGACCGCATAATTATACTAAATGAGATAATAAAAGTTGGACGTTCAGTGGCCCGCGCCAAACCTACAAAAACCAATGCGATCTTCGACTGCAAAGTCTTGTCGAGAAGTCATGCATTGATATGGCACAAAGGTGATCGGGTATGTTTTCGAATACTTTTAATCTCATTTACAGTTTTGGTTACGTGATACAAATAGTAGCAATGGAACTTTTGTCAATAACACAAGAATAGTGAAAAAAAATGATGAAGATTTTGCCGACCGTGAGATATTTTCCGGTGATATCATTCGTTTTGGAGTAGACGTCGTTGAACATGATAGTAATTTATATTTCGTTGCTTATATTTATTTGACCTTAGCAACTCACGGCTGCATCATAGCTCAAGTTGCTTTGTATCATCCTAATGGAACAGAAGCAAAACAAAGGTAAATAAATTATTAGTTTTATTCGCTTAATAGCGTTGATTATGTCAGTAGTAATAATGCTTTGACTGGTATCGAGGCACTCCATACTGAACAAATGTTCCGCTTCACACATTACATTAGCGTATGTTTATTTGTTTAGTCATTCACTACTGGTTTTCAGGAGGCTTTATTTCGGGAACAAGTTCTGGACACAAAACTTGAGTCTATCAAACGGCTCCTACAAGAGGCACAAGAAATTTCTGAGGCTGGTTGGCAAGTAAGTCTAAGCTTTCCGTCATTCTGTCATTTAGGCTATGGTGGATGAAGATCGACTTTTGGAGAAGCTAAGTCTCTATGAAACTCAACTATCTTTATTGAAGCAAGTGAGTTGCCAGTTCACAACCATGTCTTTTAATATTAGTTTTGGATTTTGCAGAAATACTTATATGCTTCGGATTTGTGATATTTTTGTTGTTTCAAGGATTTGCCCGAGAATTCGTTACAGTCGCATCTAATGCAGGCTCTAGAAGAAAAATTTAATCTTGAGAAAGCCAGTAAAATAATGTTGGAACGCCTGTTAAACGAGAAAGCGGAAGTTTTTAGCAAAGCTACAGATCTTGAGGTACGTTCATGTTATTTTAGTTATGTGTACATTTCAGTCGAACAAGCATTAAGAACTAATGACTAAACTTATTTTCCCTCGTTCTGAGACTTTGGAAGAACCCATCACTTTAGTTCTTTCCGAAGATCCATGAATTCTTCAATCACAGTGACCTTTGAAACACTAAACCTATATATAATGAGTTCTTCCTAAACGTCAAACCATAACTGTCGGACTCCGATAAGCATGCCTGTCCTAAGATTTGACGAATGGTGAGTATATTGTCGATGTAGCCACGACCAGGTCTAAAGCCAGCCTGATTTTCTCGTGTTTGCAGTTTACGAGTCTTTGTTAGGCGTCCGGTAACTATTGAGGTTAGCATTTTAGATGCTATGTTGGTCAAACTAATCCCTCTATGGTTATCAGAGAATGATTTTGACCTCTTTTTATATATTGGGACAGTCAGTGATTGCGACCAGTCAGATGGGATTACGTCCAACTCCCAGATTTTAGCTGAAATATCAGTCAACCTAATCTCTCAAACTGGACCACCAGTCTTAAAGTCCTCTGGAGCCAATCCATATGGACCAGCTGCTCTTCCTCGTTTCAGATTAGTTATAGCCTTTTGAACTTCAGCTAGAGTCGGTGGACCTACTTCAATGTTCCATTCAGGCGGTCTAGGAATGGTAGGTAGTTGTAAAGTAGCTGAAGGTCAGTTGAACTGTTCCTTAGAATGTTCCGCCCATCGTTCTAAACGTCTTGACTGGGAGCAGATAAGAGTGCCGTCGTTTTCTGAGATAGCCTCACTTACACTTGACTTATTAATTCCAGTTTCTTTTTTTAGTCTGTAGAGCTGTACTGTGTTACCTACAACCGCTACCATTTCCATCTCTTTTGCTTTCGTTGCTCACCACTACTCGCGGTCGTTTTTATACCTGCCAGTCCACGAGGACTAGCTATCGGGTCGCCAAATAAACGGAGAGTGTATCTCGTCGGCTCCCCCTTGTGGCGAGTTAAGGTCAAGCGAACGACCATATTAGGATCCTGTATGCGTGTTTCGGAGACAGCATACATCAATGGTACGAGATTCACTGTTATGCTGGTTGTCTGAGGGTAACACCTTACTGCCGTCACAACTCTGTACAGTCGGCAGTACGACTTCGCCCTCGGACCTTGGGTTTGCTGCTCTTCAACCGACCTGTCTTGCATAGTAGGACCTTGAGGAATGATTGTCCCGACCAGCATAGCTCGATTGGTTCATCACGATAGGCAAGCCTGATCACCACGTTAAGGTAGCAGCAACGGTATCCATGTGCTTTATATTTAATTGTAATTTCTAAAGGAATATGAACCACTTTTTACGTTCTTGTTTATGAGTCTGATACAATTTTAAAGACTGTTGATGTGGCACTCGACCAAACTTCACGTATATTTAATAAGTCATACTAGGTAATAAGGCCTGTTCATGTTTTGTTTTGGTGTCATTTACGATCAGAAGTCTTTCGGTCAGTCAGCTACAACGTAGGACCAGGCACATTTATGCATCGGTCCAAGTTGCCATACCTCATTAACACAACAAGATGGACACCGGATTCATAAAAGTAGTTAATTCAGAGGTGGTAATATATAAAAGAAAGATTGCAATAAGGATATGAAGTCTTTCATACACACCGAAATCCAGTCGTGGTAAAATTATTGGGAATACAAAGAATCTAGATTTGATTTTAATTATTTATTCAGTTTTTGTCGATTGTATAATTCTGTTTTTACCTGACAGTACGTAACTTCTCATCAATTTCCACATGTATTCATACTAAAAGAACAATGTCACTTATTCTTAACGTATAAATTTATGTATGAAATCACTAACCAAGCTTGGTTTTTTAGTTTTAATGCGGAAATAGATTGGCTTTTATAAATTCTCTATATCCACGAAAATGTATTCATGTTGTAGCATTCTTTGGTCATGTCTCAAAAAGAGTGCATTCGCCTTCGTCAAGACTACGAAAATATCCAAGAAGCGTACCAGAATTTGGCAAATGATAGGCAGTCGAAGCAAGTAGCATCAGAGGGATCAAAGGTAAGCTTTAGAAAAGTCAAGGCTCTATTTCCTTGTTGGTTGGTTGCATTTATAAATCAATTTATCAAGTTTTATGGTCTATATTTTGCCATCAGTTCAACACACTTTTGCTTGCGATCACTTGTACAATTAAAAATACACTGAAAGTACAACGTCCATAATCGTGCTCAATACGTTTTATGTTTTGTGAGTTTTGCTGTTGACCTTTTTCTGGTTTCAGTAATGCAGAAAGATTTTACGATTGGAATGAATCCCCGGTATATAAGGTACAAAATTAATATGAAACTCGATTCTTCAGGAAAGAAATGAGTGGACAAATCTACGATACTATGACCAATTCTCAATCATGCTGCTCGACGTCTCAAACAGCTAGTCGTGAAAACCGTTTTTACTCCGAACTAGTAGTCTGCACCTAACAATACTCAGAGCCAACAGTCCATGATTTCCTAGACTGATGGTACTTCTTGATTTGACCACCGTAGCCTCCTACCAGTCTATTTGTTGAGTCGGCTTCCGAGAACTACAATGGAGCCTCCAGAGGCCCTAAAGGAAAATTCTCCGGCTCCTATAGGGCCTCTGGAGGCTCCGTTGTAGTTCTCGGAAGCCGACTCAACACCTCCCCCGAATAAGATTTCTTTCTAGGATCCACTTGTAGCTCGATAACTGGTTTCCGGTGGCGTCCCATTGTTCTTGTTGTCTTCCTTGTCCGAGGCTTCTTTTCAGTGTCCTTGGGCATATGTAAAGTTGATGTGTCGAAGATTAACTCTAACGGAAGATTCGGCTGGTTATTTTGAGTCTGCCAAGGGTTAGTGAATTTGAAGCATGATACCTCGATGGTAGAGAACGGTAACCGTTTCCCTAACGTCAATGCAGTCAAGAGAAAAGTTTCACAAGGTTCCAGTACGCATAATTATCGTAATGACAGTGACAAACCACCATCTCCATCCTGGTCTGTGTGGCGCATATGTATTTGGTGCCTGCTTGTACCAATATTTATGTGGCATTGCTCCACTACCTTGTAGAGCAATGCCAAGAGATGCAGTCCCATGGTATCCTGTATTTCTTGAAGTAGGATTTTGCAGAATATCGTTTGTGGTTTCTTTTCCTGCAGCCGGTTTCTATATGGCACTTCCAACGACAATTACTGCAACAATGTTCTTTAAACGGGCAGAACCTCTTGTAATGCCAACCTCCACGAGACCAGCATGGAGATGATGGTTGTCACTGTCATTACGATAATTATGCGTACTGGAACCTTGTGAAACTTTTCTCTTGACTGCATTGACGTTAGGGAAACGGTTACCGTTCTCTACCATCGAGGTATCATGCTTCAAATTCACTAACCCTTGGCATTCGGTAGTTACTTCCTGCAGCATCATATTGGGGCAGTGTTCGAGCTTGCTTAGGATTCTTGTTCGGATGTCAGCATCTTCGGGTGAACACAGGCTACAGACAAGTACTAGGCATTTAAACTGGTCTTCAGTCATGGAAGACAACTTGAACCTCTCACACTCTCGGTTCACAATTCCTGCATGTTTCACCCAGTCATCTGGTTCTTTCGTTATCTTCAAGCATTGGTAACGGATATTAAATAGAGATGACTGTTCTCCAAAGATTTGAGACAGAGTTTTAATTGTTTCGTCAAAACTATAGTCTCGTGGGTTCTTCGGGAGAATGAAGTTACTGTAGCGATCATGTTCCATTGTCTCAAGTTTTCTTAGAAGTATTTTGACTTTTGAGGTGTCATGAAGTCTGCAGAGACCAATACAGAGCAAATTTTCATATTTCTTAAACCAAGAATCAAAAGTTACACCTGCTGCAACATGAAAATTAAATTCGTGAATGGCATTAATGACTGAATCAGTATGAGATACTTGCGATTCACCAAAAGCAGGGTTTTGCTGGTCAAATCCAAGGAAAAATGTTTCTGATTATTGTGGATGCATTTACTAAGTGGCCAGAAGCATATACCATGCCCAATTGTACAACATTAGAAACAGTCCACAAGTTGTCTACCTTGTTTAGCTGCTTCGGAGTTCCAGAGACCTTAGTAACTGATAATGGCTCGCAATTAATCTCAGAATCGTTTAAGTATTTCTGTAGCACAAATGCCCTATCATCCGCAGTCGAACGGACAAGCAGAACGTTTTGTGAACACTTTTAAACGAGCATTACTGAAAGGGGGAGGCGAAGGGACAACTGGACAGATAATCACAAAAATTTTAACATCCTACAGAACCACTCCGAATCCAAATGTTCCAGATGGTAAGTCTCCTGCTGACGCCATGTTCGGAAGGCGTATTCGGACCGTTTTCAACGCCATGTTGCCATCCAAATTAGTGGATGGGCACAATTACAATCCAAATATCTGGAGCCTTAATGTTGGCGACGAAGTTTTCATTAAATCCTACCTCGGGAAGAACCTATGGGAGCTGGGAAAAGTTGTACAAAAATTGGGAAAAGTTTTGTACAGAGTCCAAGGAACTTTTGGAACATGTATATGACATACAAATCAGATCCATAAAGACAAAAGAACGATGCAGACTCAAAATAACCAGCCGAATCTTCCGTTAGATTTAATCTTCGACACATCAACTTTACATATGCCCAAGGACACTGAAAAGAAGCCTCGGACAAGGAAGACAACAAGAACAATGGGACGCCACCGGAAACCAGTTATCGAGCTACAAGTGGATCCTAGAAAGAAATCTTATTCGGGGGAGGTGTTGAGTCGGCTTCCGAGAACTACAACGGAGCCTCCAGAGGCCCTATAAGAGCCGAAGGGTTTCAGCTAATCAGAGCATGAGGAAGCTTTCTAGAATATCAACATGGTATACTACTATTGGTCAGTAGCATAGTATGTTTCTTAGCGGATTGGCCAAATTATAATGTTGATTTGACAAACGCTGATAATCTATAAATACCCTTGTTTTTCTGTACGAAAACGAACCTTTGGAGTAAAGTGCTTTTCTCTTAATTTGCGCCTTTTCCCTCGTGTTCAGGTCGCTGCGTATTTTCAGTTTAGGGGTTACTAGAATAGCTTAGGAACAGAATAAAGCGTTAAAATTAGCAAGACTTACCACTATTCTTATGCCAACTAATATTGGACATTAAGGCGTGCGTATTTAGGCACCCTTTTGACCTAGTATTTTAGTCGTAAATCCTTTTGGCGCTGTACATGTCGACGAGACATTTTTCCATCGTCATAGACGCGATTAGTTTAATATAGACAAGAGATATCACTCTTGATCCTCACATATAGTTTCCGAAGATTTCAGTCGAATCTTATATCAGAAAATGCCTATAAAGCAGTTATTGGGTTAAACATAACTGTTCAAATAGGTTAAGACTCCTAAATGAATTGGAAATTATTCAAACTGCATTTGAATTATCCAACCGACTTAGTTGTCATGGCGGAACCTAAAGAGATGATGTAGCTCTGTTTGATCATCACGGTTAGGAATCACAATCATCACATCAAGGTAGCAGCTACAGACGGACCTCTTCTTAACTCTACCCATGATTTTTATCCAAAACGAAGTAAAACCAGTAGTATTGTCTAGTGCAAATTCAAACATAATACTGGTTTGATAATTATATTTTTTGTTATATCTCAATGAGTAGAAAAGTTGTATTTTTGACGTTTCGTGACTTAGTGTAAGCTACTTCAGAGTAAATAAATAACCGAATTAAATTAACACAAGTTTAAATAGTACCATTTAGAATTGTGTTATTAACTTTCTACTAAAAGCCTGATATTTCAATAAATTCAACTACCCATTAGTGTTGCTTTGACAAAATCACCCTTTACTGTTAAGTGATACTAACTTCAAAACTAATATTTAACGATTCTCATACTAGAAGTGAAACAATGAGATAATGTAAGCTATATGATTTTGTCTTATGAAAAAATGTCAAAAATTTCATAATTAAGATTCTTTAATAATTTCGTCGCTGTCTTGGTTTTCTATGGTCTTTAGTTCTAATAAATCAGATTACTGAACATAGTATCACTTTTTACTAAGGGTAGTTTCAACGCGAAGATCTTAAATAGCTTTCTTAATACTTCGATATAATGTTGGGAATAAACAGATCAAGAACTGTTTTGATTTATGTATACATCGTCCAGCCTTTTTAGTCTGGATAGTTTTACCTTTCTTGTTGCTATATTTATTTCAGTCATTAACACCATTTGAAAAAAAAGTTTGACTTGAAACTACTATCAGACATTCATTTTTGCTTTGACTGGAATCAGTTATTAGTTCTATTAGGTCCCATTGCTATCGTTGTAAAGGTATGTCGAGTTGTATCTTAATCGGTCCCTGGTTCATGCACTTAATTGTAATCACATAATAAACTATTTCTGGAATGTATAATGCTTTCACCTTACCAGCAATTGTTTATCTTATTTATTTATTTGAACACATAAGTATTGGTACAAAGGGCACCGAATACATATATGCCACACAAGTCACTTAATTTGTGTGTGGGCTATGATACTGCCCGGGTGCCCAGACCGAAGCAAGTGATTTTCTTAGGGGGCCACACCCGGAGCCTCCGACCTACAGGTCTGATCCACAAGGTAGTGGAGCAATGCCAAGAGATGCAGTCCCATGGTATCCGGTGACTAACAATTGGTTCATACGTCATTTGTTCCTTCAGGATCCTGGAGCCTATGTGCACCATTGGTTTGGAATCAGGGTTTCCCAACTCCCCTAAGTGAACCCTCCGTATCCACCAACCCGGTTAAAGCGCCAGACATTCACTTTTCGTCCTCTCAACTTCGTAAGCAACACCCCCACCACGAGAAGGCAGTGAGTAGGACTTCCCTCGAAATGGCTGTATACGTGTGGCCATGTGAGAGTATTTTGAGTGGGAGAGCTGACTCTCCTCACCCTCGGCCGTACCGGGGTATTTGGGAGCATAATAAAGGGGCGGATTTGTATGCATATAGCATACAGTTCTCTTTGAACCTAGCACACAACAATAAAGTTGTTTATCCAGAAACTTTTTTTTAGTTTCTAATCGATTACATGATTATCATTCTTTTAATTTATGAAATTTTGTTTAGCTCACGATTCTTCACATGTTACCACTTGTATTGTAAAATCTGACATTTCATTTTTTTTCAGTAAATTTTAGAGATTTAAGTACAATTCATGTACTGACAAATCACTCCGTAGCTAACTTTGCTTAAATATTACTATTACTAATCATATGAGCTCTTAACGTTGCTTTTTACTTAACTTGATCTGGACAGCTAAATGATATTGTAAGCTCGAATAAATGTCTATTTATACAGTCTAGATTGGGAACATGTAGGCATTTTATGCGCTGCATTAGGTGTCCAATATGTGTTCGAGTAAGATGATAAGTCGCAAACGGTTTTTAACATGAAACAAACAATTAGTTTGTTTGTTAACTAACTGTCAAAATCATATTTTCATGTTATACTTTGATTTTATTCGAATTCAGGAAAGCAAAATCGAAAAATCTGATGTGAAAGTCGAGACTGACCAACTTAAAGATGAGAAAGTGCTTGGAAAAGTTTTCGACCAGTTTCTATATTCTGATCATAGAGCAAATAATAGACAAGCCCTTGATAGCCATAACGGTAATGGTAAGGATTCTCAGTAATGTTTTTTTATCTTATTTAATAGAACTAGCTGTTTGATTTCATTTGACATCTAAGATAAACAAGAATGACTCGTATCTTAATGACTTCCTAAAAACATTTTTTGGGTAACTAAAATTTTCCAGATTTGAATCCAGTGGTTTGTGATTAGTTTATCCCGACTTACGTATATCCTAAATCAAACTAGAATAGCAACAGATAAAGTGAAGTTTGAATGTTCAATAGGTGTTTCTATTAAGGACAAAGTAATATTATCCTGCTTAGTTTAATATAAAATAACTTAATACAAAAAAATTATTCAGCCATATCACTGATAAGTTCATAGCTAAATCTCTAAGTATTTCCCAACTTTTCACAGTGAGGAAGTTGACAATATTTAAATGTATATAAAGCATCAACCGAATTAATAATGTAGGTAGGTTGATTATTTATGTTTATGCGAAGTACTGACCTAATTAGTGATGTACATATAATCACTACCTCGGTATTATTCATTCGTATCTGGTGTTTTACTTTTTTCAAAACAGTTGTTCCACAAATCACTAACAGCACAGAATTCTGTTATATCTGTTTACACAGTCCGTTCAACAAATGCGCAAACTGAAGTGGGATGAACTTAGTTTTTACAAATTATAGGATTCATCATTACTATTCCCTTCAAAACATTTTTCATTTGTGGCAGTACACTTGTCTTATCTGCGATTTCACTATCCAGAAATCCCTGAAAGCTCTCAGAACTCGATATTCTGCATTGTTTCGTCTTCTCACATTTTGCTAGAATCGTATGCACTAACAAGTTTTCCAAATTCAATCAATCAGGAATCATCCTGATAGTGAATCAACAGTCAGAAACCAAAAGTTCTCATACATCCAGTGTTTTCACCAAAAGAAACGTGTCATCCTCCATAAAGAGCTTTTAGTACTTCAATTTTCGTGCATAAGTAAAATACACCATCATTAGAAACGTTGATTTGTCAACCAGATATCTTGCATTGGTGAATCATCGACAGACGTTTCTCGACTGAGCTCATTTTCCTGGCTTAGTAGCTGGATATTAAGATTTTAATTAATATGTAAATAGTATGTGAACTTATGGTTAGCTGTAACAACAGTACAAATTTGCGATCATTAGATTTCCTAATTCTAAGCTTTTTTTTCAGATGCAAACATTCTTATGAATGGTTTAGACAATGGCATTTCGAAAATCCCTGAGAATTATGATGGTTAGTATATTCCTTTTTTTCTTGCTGAATTTATGCATTACCTATCTGTTCATTTATCTATTTTTGCTAAAAAAAGATTCGGTATAGATAGACGCTGAAAAATACTTCACAATTGACGAAGTATCAGTTATGAGAAATAAAACGGGAAATCATCTATTAATAAGATAGAAAAGTAATATTTAGAGAATCAGCTCAAATAACGAAACATTTAAAATCAGTTTCTTTTTCCCCAGAATATATACTTCAAAGGAACTAACGGTAACTACAACAGGTTTTCCGATGATATTAATTGAATCCTACTTCCAGGAATCTATGGGGATACTTGTAATATGTAAAAAGAGTGCTAATACCTATCATTTTGTAATATCATCCCCCAAACTGACTGCCGCTTTACTTTCATTCAGTTTATGTGTCATCAAATTGTATCCTGTTGATTCGTGACACTTTGGCGTTCGTAATACGAAAATTAATCCAGTCTTCCAAATCGTTTCCAGGTTCACCCAACTAACTAGACACATGAACTCTTCAACAATAAGGTTGCAGAAATAGTGCCATGCAAACATTTCATATAACTTTAGCCACTAACTGGTAAAATGACTTTTATAAACTTCGTCTAGGTATCCGTCTAGCTTTGGTAAATCCCTTAGACTGGAAAAAGTTCACAACATTTGGTATCACTGGCTGAAACACTTGTATATTGTCCTGGAATGTGCAATAACTTCATTCATTGACTTAATCGTTCATCCGACATAAATATCTGTATTAATCTAATAAAACTGGGCAAGCTAGCAGCGTAGCCATCAAAACGTTTAAAAATATACTCTAGGAGTTTGAATATTGACATATGTTAAATTATTAGTGTTTGACTGGTTTTCTACATCGTACTCATCAAACGTAACCTCAAACATATCAACATTAGAATTAGTGACATCATCATTAGTCATGCATTAGCTATATGCATGTGCTTACAACCTTTAACAAAAAACAGGGATTGATGATGATGTACAGTATTGAGCCGCCAAATAAAATTCTCACTTCCAAATTTTTCTTGTTATCTATCAATTATCAATGCGATCTCAGAGTTTTATGGTTATAGAGAGGGGAATGGTTTATTTTAGTGTTTGTGTGAAATCCAACTTCTAAACTTAGAATGCAGTTGTATTGTGGCATACTGAAGAGAGATATGTATAATTTGAAGATAATTTTATTGTTCATTGACGTACGTTGGATAGAAAGTGAAAACCTAACAGCACTGGAGATGTTTCTTAGGCTCTTTAGTCGTACGCAAGGAAACATAATGAACTCCTCCCTTTCAGCTAACCAGTATGTCAGATAACAACTATGCGTTTTACACACATGGTCATGTGATTTTATTTTAAATGAAGCTTACTTTGTTCCTAAAAATACCATGTTTGAAGTCAGTTCAGTTTTAAGTAAATCAACTTTACATGCTCTTAAGGGTTTGTAAATCTGAATTCTGATAAATTTCGAAGAATAAAATCGTCTGTATTCCTTATTCTTAATACTATTGAATATCAAAATCAAGAGTCATTAAAGAGATCTTCATTCAACGAATTTACGATACAGCTTGTTAGGAAATTAATTAGAAGCAAATAGTTTCTCTGAGTTTGTTTCCGTTGATGAATAATCCATTTTCACTTGTAGTCAAGTGTTTGCTTATCTTTTGATGGAGAGAACTGAGGTTTTATGTTGTTGGCAATAGTAGTAATATCGAAAAGTTGGAATTGGAAGATTTGTTTTCATTGTTAGACCATATGAGATGAATTATGTTACTATAATTCGCGTTTTATTTTGTGTCATTTTTTTGCGTAATTCAGAGATATTTTTCTTCATCAAAGTCATATTCGTCGAGAAGTCGACGAAGTTAGCAGTATGATCAAGTCGGATTTAGTGACTTTAGTAGAGCTCCGTTATTTGTTAAGTTAACGTTGTCGACAGTCCGACAGTAGTTGACTGAGCATATTAAATAAGTATTGTGAAATATCACAAATTGAATGAAATGTAGTATAGATTTTTTGGATTCCAAGTTAGTGATAGAATGGTGTGTTGTCGGTCGACCCTGGAAGCTTTTGGTTCAATGCAATCTCTTTATTAGTTAGTCCGTCACTGGGACGGAATAGCTTTATACTTTTCCTGTTTTTTTATAAATAATTCTTCGATCAATGTTGGTTCGTCATGAAAAATCTGTTCAAAATAAGTTAAGCAATCCGAATTTGGATTTTGAGTTTATAATTGTTGTTTGTTATTGATCGCATAATAACTAGAGATATTCTTACTCATGAGAAATCATACATACATTCTGAGTATTTTCGGTTCTGCATTTTATATACTGATGTATTTCTGGATGTTTTATTCTTTGTTTGCTTTTACTGTAATGTAAATACATTATCTTATTTTTTAGATAAGTTAAATAATATCAACGAACGGTTCGGTATGCAAAATAATTTCGATTTATTGAAAACATCGGAACCTGATAATTTCTTCGGTGTTCAAGGTTAGTGATAGTTTATCCTGTTTGTGTTTCAGTGTTCCCACCACTTTTTTAATTTATTTAATAAATATGATAACGTATAGTCTCTCTACCTGTTTTGTACGTGATTAGGGTAGCGCACACTTATTTGAAGTTCGAAGAACTCAGAACCATCGGAAATAAGTTCTTCATGAATAATCAGATTTCCGGGTTATTTTGAGTAATAAGAGAACTGAATAGACTTTTGTTAATACGGTCTTAATCTCAAATTCTAACTTAATTTACTAATAATAGAGTAGAATTCTATGAACATGGCACTCATATCTTGTAATTTCTTCAAATGGTTGAATTCGATTATTTTGACTAATATCATCCATCTTAGATTAAATAACTTTTGATAATTAGTCATATAAATGCAAATAGATTTATTATTCTTGTTAATATCTGAGATTTTTGAACTTTTACGAATAAAAATAAAGAGAACAATTGTTTTGTTCTTCTTAAGAACATAAAGACTGTCCTTTTAGGCAACATATACTTCTATAGGTATCATTATCAAGGTTCGATTTGATAATTTCGAATAAATTAAGTATTAGGTAGATTGTTATAAATAAATAATATATTTGTAATATCCCAATGAAGAAGTGGCTTACACTAAGTCACGAAATGTCAGAAAGTCCAATTTTTTATAACATATACTTCTGTTTGGATACTTAATTTTGCTGTTTGTTTTTTAGGGCAACATGTCACCACAAATGATGAATCTCATAACGGTCATACATCTATTCGGATAATTGAAGGTATTCGGCTTTTCAATCAATCAAATCAATTAATCAAATTGCTCCAAGGTATGAATAAATACTGTGTAGTGTAGGACTAGACAAGCATGAGATTGATCACCACCCAGTGATCAATCAATTGTGACTGTGTAGTGTTTAGCTTTATTATACCCTTTTTCATTAATTTCCGGAAAACTGAACTTTACCTCATGTTTATTGTCATTTTCAAATTTGTGGTTGATGATTAAGCGCTTCATAAGACTCTTTAAGCTGATCAAGGATGAAGTTGATAGGTTTTTCCCTGTATTAATTACATAGAATAAATGAAATTTATTTCGTATTGACACATAGTTGGGATAATCTAAACTCGTCTACTATTTAAGAAATTCGGGATCACGTTTTAAAACATCGCTATTTCAATTTCTATTAACATAAAGTTAGGTGAGTCTACTACATTTCCTGTCTTCAACTAACCAACACATTTCGGTTATCTGTAATTAATAACAAAAGTAAACTTAGGTACAATATGCATCGCAAGACAGCTGTAGAAAATCGTGTACAGAAGCGAAAACAACCATTTATCTACTTATGTACGAAGTTAACTATTTACAAAATTTTATCCTCTTGTATCTCCCAGGGTTATTGATCGATTAAAAAGTGACAATCCACCTTGTCTAGATCATTTTTGTATTGAAATTATCAAGCTAATTCAGAGTCTGTCTTTCTAGTACAAGGATACTTTGATAAATAATTTTGTGACCACTTCTAAGTTCTTGCTGTAATAACTTGATACATTTATACATTCTGGGGAATTCCATTTGCCCTTGTTTTAATAATCAGATTATATTTGGATACCTTTCGATGTCAAACAGTATAGATGTACAGAGATATTATTTCGGCAATGATGAAGTATATATTTATATAGATTTACTTTATTAGATATGTCGCATGTAGATTACCTTAAGCTCTATTATAATTAAATATTATAAATCGAAGTAATTTTTAACTATGAATTCAACAGTAAAATAAATACTTAACACTATATGTTATAACGCTTGGTTTTCCTCGTCTACATGAATTGGACGCTAATTTGCCTTAGACGAATATCTATACTAGATACCCTCCCAGTGTCTGTTCTACCAGAATTCAACACAACTCAGATCAAGAACACGTGATTAGCCTGACTAGAACGTAAGTATATTTCCACATCAAAGCCCGACAATAATAATAATAATAAGGGTAAAAGAATATATAACTTATTTGTACCTGTCAGACTATCTACTAGTCTGATTAAACAAACAACGAATCATTATCATTCTCGCCCACACATCACTATATGATCATTTTATGTTGCTACCTTTTGGCTTTTTTATAAACGTACTGATAGGGAAATTTTTCAGAGTTTATCCTTTAGTTCTTATAATCTTATTTAAGAAAAAACGCTCTACATTTTATTCATTTAGATGAATTAAGTATTTTGGCCAAGATAAAAAGGTCAAATGAATCAACTCTTTCCTTACCGGTGAATTCTGATCCAGCTACAAACAATATTGATTCATTTGAGTCTCTTGATAATGTTGATCCTGATAAAACTTCATTGAAAAGACTCGATGTTGTTAATTGTAAAGAAAATAATTTTGAAACTGCCTTACAACGTGCAACAGAGTATGCTACTTTAGTTGCTAATCTTCAACGTCGTGTGGGTGCTGATTTAAATTCTTTCTGTTTACCACCGAATCTTCATAATAATGCTGATATTTTTAATATTCACAGTAAGTTTTCAATGTGTTTTACGTCAGTAAATCACTGTATTCTGATTCATCACTTTATTGAACAAACCAGTGTGCATATTTTATACATGAAATTAAATTCTTTCTTCTTATGGTCCATACTTTAACAAAAAGGTTTCCAAATTTGAATAAAACAGCAAACAGTTTTTGTTATAATAGTGGGATGGATAATTAATTGTTATTCTATGTACTATTTATTCACCACACTAATTGACACTAAAGAGTAACTAACCATGTACACACTGGTGACTAACTTCATGACTAGTTTCCAGGAGTCCTAGTGACCTTAACCATATCAAAAGTGAGAGGGATATAGCCTATAACTATGAATAATCTCTGTGCTTATGACACGGATTGACCAGAATTTGAAATATAGACAGTCGGATTCCGACTTAATATTCTTGAGGTAATGGACTCACTTGATATCTAGTGGTCATGGGCCAAGTTCTTAGTAAGACAGGTTGTAAGTGTTTACTGCTAAATCCCAGATTAATAACTGTCATCCTATAATTGCTCTTCACCACTATCGTTTTAGATGATTTATGTATACCTCCTGCCGAATTCAGGACGACTCATATAACTAAAATGGATGTTTGTCTAGGAACAGAAACACTTGCCGATCATATTCAATCTACTGAAGTGGATGGGACAGCCAACCAGAAAGTTGAAATTAATCACTTGCAAGCGTACAGAATGGATAAAGATTCACATACAGACGAAGAACTTTCAAAACTACACAGTGAGTATTGTTTATGATCATTAAGTACTATTGTGATCTCTAATAATAAGATGCCCCAAAACTTGACCTCATTATGTCCGTTCAGTAAGTTAACCCTTCTGATCTAGGTTTACCTACTGTAGTATAATCGGCTATCTATCTGTAAGTATTAATCCAGTGTATTTCAGAGCTTAATATACGTGTAAATAATTTCCCAGTTTTATTTATTTCACACGATGTGAACTACTGCCTTATTTTTATCTATAGTCTTTAATACTTCATTGATTATATCCAGTAGTAGGAAATTAGTTGCGAAAATGTTAAATAATTCATACGATATTGTTTTATTGTATGTCACTGTTTATTTCGGAAAATGTCATTGTGCAGATAAAAGGAGATATAAATATATAGTTATTTTTCGTGTAATTAAATGTCATTCCATTTTCCATTTAAACCTACTATCTATGTATTTTTTTAAGATGAGCTAATGGAATCCGTGAATGAGATTGAAACTTACAAACAGTTGACCGAAGATTTAAGAAAACAAGGTGAGTTTTTAAGTTTGTTTCTGTCCTACTGATTATTCCAATAGTCATTAGAATTAAATTGTTAATGTAATATTGTCAATATTGGGAATTCGTGTTAAATATTTGTAAAATACAAAGTAGTTGTTCATTTTTTATAATATGTCTTTACGTTTTAGCAAGTTTATCAATCACCTTTATTTACTGTATATACAACTCGGTGTTTACTTTCACTTTGTTTCTATTAATATGTTCACAGTATTTTGTAAGACATTGCTATTATGCCATTCTATGCGAAATTCTTTTTCCTATGATTACTTCTTAAGGTAAATTTCAAAACATTCTAATCTAATAGTTTATATGATATAAGTGTACTTTTTCTTGCTTATTTGAATTGTAGATGCCGCTAAAGCAGAGTTATTGTTATTGGTTCGAGGAGAATGTGATGCACTGAAAAGTCGAATCGCTGTAATTGAAACCGATGTAGCAACAAGTCGTGCTGATCATCATCGTTTAATATCTGAAACAAGAAGAGCACAAGCAGAAGCTAATGAATTGTTACTTGAACGTGACAATTTATCGAAACAAGTGAGTACTGTCCACGTTTTTTTTTTACCAAATATACAAATTTGTGTTTAGTATTTGCAGTAAAACAATCGTAACTTGTACTTTTTTAAACACTTATTTTTAGCATCCCTTAAATGCCTTGGTGCAGCCGAGGGTGGGAAAAGTCCTATCTCCTCGAAACGCACTCACATGGCCACGCGTATACAGTCACTACTAGGGAAATCCTACTCACTGCCTTCTTGTGGCAGGGTTGTTGCTTAACGAAATTGAGAGGACGAGAAGTGAATGTGCTGTGCTCTAACCGAGTTGGTTTATATGGAGGGTCTAGGTAGGGGAGTTGGGAAACCCTGATTCCAAACCAATGGTTTGGATGAGCCTCAGGATCTTGAGGGAATGGATTGCGCATGAACGTATTGTTGGTCAACGGCTACCATGAGACTGCATCTCCTAACGTTTCTCCACCAACTTGTTGATTAGATCTTTAAGTGAAAAGCTTGATTAGTGGTCCTCCCAGAAAAAGACGTACTTCGGTTTTGTCACCTGAGCAATATTCCTGCCTTCACACAAATCGAATGATGAAGTGTGGCGGTTATATATATTTGATGCCTCCTTGTATCAATGTTTATGTTTAAATAAATAAATATTTTTAATTGGAATGCACATTTTTGCTGTCGTAGTAATCTCGCTTCTGGTTACTGTTTACATAGAAAATCTACTTTTCAGATTCATCTGTTTTTTAATATGTATCTTGAATATTTCACTGTACATATTTCCATTGGTTTTTTTTAAAGTCTTACTAACTTCTCACTATTCACGGCATCAAATTTTTGTGAAAATTGTAAATTTGGATTCATAAAAGTGAATTGTAATTTTACACTTGATTTCTTTTTTTCCGCTTTTTCATATAAAAACTTCTAGCTAGATACTGCTAATAATCAAATAGAACATTTACAAAAGCTTCTTGCCAGCACACTTTTGTGTGATACCAAAACACAGATTTCTAACAAGAATTCTATTTCCAACGAAATATCCACTGTAAATTCTTTAAATGATAATCCTTGTCCAACTAACCAATATCCTACTAAAACTAGCAACGTGCCATTGCATGAACATTACGTAAGTAGTTTTTTTGTTACTAAATATATGCGTATATATCGTAGTTATTTTGACGTTAAAAAATATTTTGTTTATGATTTTGATTGGTATTTCTCAATCATTCAGTGATATTTCTAATTATTGCCTAGTGATAAGTAGTATTGATAGTAAACTTTTAATTGATCATAGAAAAAATGATCAATAATTAGTTTTGCGTTTTATTGCATCGATTATAACAAAATTTTCTTCAATTATTACTAAAATTATCACTAATTTTACTTCTGTTCTTTTATTTTTACAGTTCTCATTATTTGCTGTCATTCCTGTTATGGTATTGATTTGTGCGTTCATCGTATATATTTTCTTGAAATTTGTTCGATGACCATCTGATTATATGACTTGTATACAACTGGATTCTCTATACTATTCTCTTGCTGTTAAAAAATCATACAATAGTAATAATGCTAATAATTTATTTTGATTAGTTTTGAAACCAATAAGGGTAGTTCAATGTGGGAAATTGAGAGAAAAGTGTGCATTCATATTTCAGTCAGCAATTTCGTGAATTTCTACTCACTATATTGTACTTGTATCAATATGTATTGTTTTTCTCGGGGATTATTCATCTTGGTTCAATTTATGGTCAGTTCATCGACCAAGCAACCACGTCTAACCATTTTTCATCAATAAACACGTTTTTTATACATTTGTGTAGTTGATATAAATCAGTATGCTTATTATTGTACATTTAAAACCAATGACTGTCAAAAGTTATTCAGTTTGTTTCTTCCCTGTCTGTAGTTACTTTAGAGATTTTCAAAAAGCCGCTTTTCCATTATTCTCTTCCTATTACTAGTATCATTATTGAAATGTATTTCCTGGTACCATAATAAATTTTGCTATTCTTTATCGACACAGTTAAACTGAAATTTCACTGGTAATAGTTTATATATATATATATATATATATATATATATATATATAAACACGTGATTTTGTTGAAGTATGTTTTTATGTATATATATGTAGAGATTTGTATTTATTAATTCTATTATCGCACTGATCTCTGATGACATCTTGCATTCTTTCCTCCTTTTATTATTATTGTTATTGTTATAATTACTACCGTAAACTGCATGCCTTTGTTTCTCATGGGCTTTCCATCGTTCTTTTCTTCGTACGTCTGTGTGCAGAACAAATATTGTCCCTTTCTTTTTTCACCTTTTTCGTTTATCTATGTAATAATCTGTTTACTGATAAACTAACTATGCTACCTAGGCACAAATCGCCTAATAATACAGTAAACTTCACATCTTTAATTAGTATTATTACCACTATAAACTTATTTCTTTCCATAGTTCTTTTTTATAATTCGTGGTTTTTTTAAAATTGTCATAGCTACATCGCAAGCAGTGCATATAAAAGAATGAATGAGTTCAGTTTAAGTCATGTACGAATGCACATATATTGTTATATAAATAAATACGGTTATGATTTTTTGCTTGAAAGCATGTCTTATAACTTGGCAAATTCTTCTTTACAGAGACATGATTATTTCGCTTGCTTCTTTGTATCACAAACAATTCTAGGGACCGCTAAAAAGGGTGTTAAATTCACCTGGATGAATAATTTTTGTTGTATGGTTCATAAATAATCAATGAAATATCAACGAGCTCTGGAAGTCTTTTCTGTTATGAAGCATTTTCTATCTTGTCTCGCTAAATTTCATTATGCTTTCGATTTTCGGATTGATAATGTAAAATACACATTTCTTTATATGCGTATGCACAAATGGTTACATATTTCCTGATGCCTTTTCGTTTTCAGAACAACTAAACCATAGCTCAAAACTAGTATGTGTGTTTAGATCCCCTGCGTTTGTATTGTTTTAAAATGAATTAAGTCTGCCCACCTATTATATATATATATATATATATATATATATATATATATATATATATATATATATATATATATATATATATATATATATATATATATATATACTAACCGTCATATTTCTGTCAATCAATTTATTGTAAATAATTATCGAGGCCTATGAAATTTTGCAATAAGATCCGATCTCTCGTGAATCGTCCATTTCGCAAAACATGGTTCTGTTTAATAAGCTTCTACATTTTCCAAATACAAATTTGGTACGGATGATTGTTAACTCACAATTTTCATCTTATGATTATAAGACTTTAGTGTGCATAATGGAGTTTCGTAACGCCTTAATTAAAACATTTAAAAGGAAACAAAATGTACGATTTTTAATGTATTTAAAAATTTTATTTAACCCTGTTCTCTTCAGACGATATATATATATATATATATATATATATATATTTGAATCTATGAATCTCACGTTCATTTTCAATTGTTTAAATAAAAGGATTGTCTTGTATGTTATTGCTTAGTCTTATGAACACAGTATTGTTCAGAATTACAGGTGTTTATAAAATACTTTTCATTGTTATTATTAATATACAGTGTATAGTTAGGTAGTTACCGTTGTCCATAGTTTTTTTATAGTTTCGATGCCCATATTACTGACAAAAAATTCAATGAATAATATGCTTTACTGTAGACTTTCTAGTCGAATCTAAATAACAATATAGTATATATTCTGAAAATAATTAGATTATACACCAATCTACAGACGTGATCACGTTGATACAAACTGGATGTACAATACACAAAACGAAATATTTATAAATTATATTCTTCGGACACTTGTCACAAACATACGTAATTCCGGAAATGTACGTGAAATGCATAATTCAATGCAATGTCATTTTAGAGTACTTACATACGCCCCAGAATAACCTGATACGGTCGAAGGTGGGAAAAGTCCTATCTCCTCGAAACGCACTCACATGGCCACGCGTATACAGTCACTACTAGGGAAATCCTACTCACTGCCTTCTTGTGGCAGGGTTGTTGCTTAACGAAATTGAGAGGACGAGAAGTGAATGTGCTGTGCTCTAACCGAGTTGGTTTATATGGAGGGTCTAGGTAGGGGAGTTGGGAAACCCTGATTCCAAACCAATGGTTTGGATGAGCCTCAGGATCTTGAGGGAATGGATTGCGCATGAACGTATTGTTGGTCAACGGCTACCATGAGACTGCATCTCCTAACGTTTCTCCACCAACTTGTTGATTAGATCTTTAAGTGAAAAGCTTGATTAGTGGTCCTCCCAGAAAAAGACGTACTTCGGTTTTGTCACCTGAGCAATATTCCTGCCTTCACATAAATCGAATGATGAAGTGTGGCGGATATATATATATGTATTTAATGCTTCCTTATACCGGTGTTTGTTTAAATAAAAATAAATAATACGCGTGTTATCCCTCATTGAGAGGCATAGACCTCCCATCAGTATTCTCCATCCAACACTGTCCTGGGCAATCCTTTTGAGTTGTTTCCAAGTGCCGTTCTTTCTTTTCATGTCTCCTTCGAATAATCGACTCTGTATGTTCTTTGGTTTTTCTCTTCTCCGTTTTCCTTGAAGATTGCAACTTAGTGCTTGCTTCGTGATGCAGTTTGATGATTTGCGTAATATATTTCCCACCCACCACTTCCAACGTCTTTTCCTAATTCTGTCGTCAGTTCGAAGCTGGTTTGTTTTCTCACAGTAGGTTGTTGCTGGTGGTATGAGTTCAACAGACATTCGGTAAATATTAACTAGTGTGAGAACTTTAGAGGTATCAATCTATCAGCAGCAGGAAAAGTTTTCAACGATTTTGAAGCGGATGGAAGATTCAGTAGATGCTTAACTTGGATTCTGTATGGATTAGTTTTGTACAGACCGAATCTCGACTTTGCTTATCACTGTTGAACAATCACGGATAGAATTCGTCACTGTACATCAACCTCCTTGATCATGAGCAAGCATTCTTTGACACTATTGTTTACCCTAGGGGATCATCAACATCATCCTGAATTCATACACTGCAAATTCGTGCATGGAGGACAGCTGACATTCATTACAAGTGAGGACTCGAGTCAGACGAGACTACTTAATTCTCCCCTTTCTCTTTCTTCTGGTGGTTGATTAGGTTATGAAGACCTCGATTTCCGAGGGGAAATACTGAATACACTGGATAGCGTGGATGTAAGTAGATGATTCGGACTTTGCAGATGACGTAGTTCTTCTATTCCATACGTAGCAACAAATGGAGGTGAAGATAGCCAGTGTAGCAGCAGCCTGTTTGCAACTAATTCGTGATGTAAGCTGCAAATAATTATACGATTTGATTTTTTAAAATTTTATGTTTTAAACAGTACAAACACATTTTGTTGGGGCTGTGTTCTCTGCGCTTGATAGTATAATCGTGAAGCGTATAAAGTAATGCCTACGAAATACATCAAATGCAACAATTCACCTTTAGTCAGTGTATGATAAACAAATAAATTTACTAAAATATACATTTTAGACACACACATGCACAATTGATTCAAGCAACTCTCGTCAAATTCCATGTTATGATCTACATTTGAAAATACTGTCTATTAAAGTAAGTTTCTCTTTTAAGAATAAATTGAGTCAGTCTACAATAGAATAAAATCAATGAATAAAGAAGTAATTCACAGTTAAATAAATGTACATGGCACATTAATTCATGTTAAAAAATGAAGCACAAATGGAAGTATTACTGAATAGATCACATTCTAAACATTCCCATAGAGTATTATATGAATGTAATTAGTAGTTTGCATAGTCTAAGTCATGGACTGATTTTAGTTAGGCAACTGATAGAAACCAGAGAAGCATTGAACAGCTATTCCATCTTAGTAAACGACTCCTCCACAAAGTGTAATCATGAATAGATGGGATCAGTCCCAAATGTAAAGTCGAAAAATCTTTATAATCCAACATCATCTCAACCTCAGACTAATACCGTTTATTTTGCATAATTCACTCGTTTTCGTCTCGATTTGTAACTATTATATTGTGTTTCGGTATATTGACGAGAAAGTCTGCATATAGTTTGCTTGGTATATTGTAGATAATGGTTTTAACAATGTCAATTGAACAGAGAACACATACTACCAACCTGTTCTTCTCAGTAGACTGTAAACTGATAGTTCATCACCGTCAAATCAATAGAACATTAGTGGTTTTTATGTTTGAATTTGTTTCTTGCCTAATATATTCCATAATATTGAACTCGGATCGCTTTCCCATCAGCTGAAGCAATATGGCTACCCTGTTCAATGGGACCAGTCTAGTGTGATGCTGTTATCTTATCTCGATTTCTTGTTATTTCCTTCTGTAACACCAACTTGTTTGTTTATCTTTTTGAAATTTCGTTGTCTGATTGTTTGTGATTCATGTGTACATGTATGGAAAACTTGAGAACCAAAATGTTACCAGGTGTTGAAATATATCTGTATAGCAAGAAATTTGATCTGTTCTGTGTATCCTATGTTTATTTATTCATCAGCATTGGTTATAATTACCTGTCGGCTTTGCGGTGTTATCTCATTTCTCGCTTCAACGTAACTTGTAAAACGTTTTTAAATTATGTTCTATGCACATAACCATCACATGTAGACTTAAATGAGTTTCATCCGCCTTACTCGAGCCCACATAGTTTTCGCCACTTCTCGTTTGTCTTACTGTGTTTATTCATCACATACCGAAATCAAGTAAACCTACGAATGAGTATGGTAGTTTTACTAATATCATAACCAATTCGGAAATTGTATGATGGTGGTTAATTATTTCTGTAACAGGAGAGACAATGCGACAAATTAATGTATTTCCCAATTATTACTACTAATATGAATTCAATACATTGTCAAAATATGAATGTTGAGACTTATCTGTTTATCTGTTTTGTTTTTTACTGTGTTTTATTGTTTTCCGCTATGGGTGTCAATTGGTAGGTGGTTGAATGTTGTGAGTGGGAACATTTCTTAATGTGACAAAAACAAATGTCTGAGATTAACTGATAACAACGTGACCGGTTGGATTTTCAGTTGCGCCGTTTACTTGCTTTTTATCTGGTTGATGGAGTAAAACGAAATTTAGTGTGTTTGCTTAATTGTTCATTATAATCAGTGGTCAGTCGGCTAATTGGTATATTTAGTTGTTTAATGTATTTGTTTGTTTTAATAAGTACCGTAATTGAAAATGAAAGCTAAAATCACTAGTCTTAATAAATTGGTCCCTTAAATGCCCTGTTATAGCCGAGGGTGGGAAAAGTCCTATCTCCTCGAAACGCACTCACATGGCCACGCGTATACAGTCACTACTAGGGAAATCCTACTCACTGCCTTCTTGTGGCAGGGTTGTTGCTTAACGAAATTGAGAGGACGAGAAGTGAATGTGCTGTGCTCTAACCGAGTTGGTTTATATGGAGGGTCTAGGTAGGGGAGTTGGGAAACCCTGATTCCAAACCAATGGTTTGGATGAGCCTCAGGATCTTGAGGGAATGGATTGCGCATGAACGTATTGTTGGTCAACGGCTACCATGAGACTGCATCTCCTAACGTTTCTCCACCAACTTGTTGATTAGATCTTTAAGTGAAAAGCTTGATTAGTGGTCCTCCCAGAAAAAGACGTACTTCGGTTTTGTCACCTGAGCAATATTCCTGCCTTCACATAAATCGAATGATGAAGTGTGGCGGATATATATATATATATATATATATATATATATATATATATATATATATTTGATGCCTCCTTGTGTCGATGTCTCTATTTTCAAAATAACTATATAGAATATTTTATTATTATAGTTAGGTCTTTATTATAACTAGTGGTGGTGTGAATTTCGACTTCTACCACAACTGTTATCCATCTCGAAAATTTTTGACATATTACTTTGTGTTCAATGTCGATAGCGTTTTAGGTAATTGTAGATATCAGTGTGATAAATTTCGGATAATACGATCATCTGTATTCTTTATTCTTGATATTTTTTAGTGAAGAGTCATTTAAGAGATCTCCATTCAGCGAATTTACGATACAGCTTGTTAGGAAATTAATTAGAAGCAAATATTTTCTCTGAGTTTTTTGTTTTCGTTGATGAATAATTCATTTTCACGTGACTACATAATTGCTTATCTTTTGTTGGAGAGGACCGAGGTTTTATGCTGTTGCCAGTTTTTTTAATATCGAAAGTTTTAATGTTGAAATTATGTACGCAGTTGTTTGTTTGTGTGATTTTGCGATTTGTGTTACCTACTTTGACGAAAGTATCCTTACGAAATCACTTATCTTTAATGGAATTATTACATGGAGATGATTTTACCAAACTTTGTGTACAATAGAACGGTGATTTCCACAAAATTATACAAAACGCAGAATAATCGAAATACTACTAATTATGTGATAATTAATGATTTGTGTGATCGAGTTTGATTTTGAGATTTTAGTTGGACTTCCTACAGTTGATATAATCGTTAGTAGGACAGCAGTTGATCGAAGACATTTTGTTGCCCCTAAATGTCCTGGTATGGTCGAGAGTGGGGAGGGCCCGCCCACACACGACCACGCGTCTACAGCCTCCGCCAGGTAAGTCTTACTCACTACCTTCTCGTGGCGAGGGTGTTTTTTACGAGAATGAGAGGACGAAAAGCGGATGTCCGGCGCTTTAACTGGGTCCCAAACCAATGGTGCACATGGGTTCCAGTATCCTGCTGGAACAAATGGCGTATGAACCAATTTTTGGTCACCGGCTTCCATGGGACTGCATCTCCTCACGATGCTCCACTGCCTTGTGGATCAGGCCTTTGGTCAAAGGCTTGGAGTGTGGCCCCCTAAGAAAACCACTTGCTTCGGTCTGGGCATCCGGGCAGTATCATAGCTCACACACAAAATGAAAATGACGATATTTACTGAAAATCCTATTCATGCTTCGATTAACAGTCAAACAATTCACATAATTATCTACCACGTTTCTTATTCACTCTTTTATTCCCACTTTGTGTATCCTTATTTCTCGACTGGTACAGTAGCTCGCTTATGGTGGGAACTCGGTTCTATCTAAACGTTCTCGAGTCACTGCCTGGTTGAAAATTGTATGCTACCACCAAATACGAATACTGTAGCAGTTTTTCTGAAACCACGTGCACTATTCAAACTGGCTGCCTTCAACGTTCGCATACTCATACAGGTCAGACAACGAATAGGGCTGGCTATGTCTTTGGAATGTCTTAATATCGACGTTTGTTGTCTATTAGAGACCCGTATTGAAGACTCTGGTGAAGTACTACAAATTCGCTCTCCATATGTCGCTTCAAAAAGCTTGTTTTACGTGCGTTTATCCGGTGACCCTGTGGCATCTTCGTCTGGTCTTTCTGGCATTGGTGTCGCACTAAGCGCTAGAGCTGAGGCAGCACTAATCGATTGGATCCCCATTAACAGTCGGTTATGTGCTGTTAGATTGGAAAGTTCCATCAAAGTGAGAAGAAATCGGCGTGAGAAATGATGTCTTTTCGTCATCTCTGCCTATGCCCCGACAGATTGCAGCCCGAGTGCAATCAAGGATGAATTCTACCACCAGTTGACTGTTCTTCTCCAGAAAGTGCGTTCGACAGATATTGTATTACTAGTCGGAGACTTGAATGCTCAGGTCGGGCGTCTAGGCACAGAAGAGAATCGTTTAGGTGGCCAATGGGGACTTGTTGGTCTCAGGACAGATGAGGGGGATCGTCTACTGCAACTGTACACAGACTACAACCTGTTTCTGACTAGCACTAACTTTCGGCGCAGTCATCGCCGATATGCCTCCTGGCGTCCTCCATCTGCATCTCAAGCCTGGACTCAGATTGATCACATCGCGACCAGCTACCGCTGGTGTGGTTCTGTACAAGACTGCCGCTCCTTTTGGAGTACCTATCTGAACTCTGACTACGCCTTGGTCTGAGCCAATCTTACCTCACTTTTCAGTGAACAGCGAAGTGACCGCCACCAACGGATTGATGTTAACAAGCTGGTTGCAACTTCTGTTGCTAGTAAGTATGGAGCCGAGCTAGTTTCTAGGCTAGCTATCATTCCACCGAAAAGTATAGATGAGCATTGGTTGCAATAGCATGACGCCATGAAAATGGCGGGTACGGTCAGTTGTGGGTTCGTGAAACGTCCCGCTTACAAGCACTGAGTTTCTTCAGGTTCCTTACAACTCATTAAAGCCCGTCGGTCTACTCCGGATGACCGTGAGTTTGACCACAAACGAAGGATGTTACGTAAGGAAATTGGGCAAAGCTTGCGTAAGGACCGAGAAGCCTGGTGGTCGGAGAGTGGTAATGAGTTGTAAGCAGCAGCTGCATCTGGTAATTACCGGAAGCTCTTCCAACTCATCCGAGCCACTGGCAACAAGAAGTCTGATGTGAGTGGAACAATCTACGAGGATGATGGGATGCCAATCACTAACATCCATCGACGTCTTGGACGATGGGCAGAATTTTTTGAAGGACAGATCAACTGGCCTGCTGCTCCAGCAACATCAGTCAGACTGTCCTGCCCTCCATGGCCGGTGACGACTGATCCACCAAACGAGGAGGAAGTCCGCAAGGAACTCCAACTCTTGAAGCGTTACAAATCACCTGGCCCAGATGACTTACCTCCGGCTCTTTTTAAAGATGGTGGTGACTTTCTGACAAAGGAACTGACTGTGTTGTTTACAAAGGTTTGGGAACTAGAGAGTGTACCAACGTCATGGAATGAGTCGATAGTTGTCCCTATCTTTAAAAAGTGTTCACGTCGTTCCTGTAACAACTATCGGGGGATAAGTCTACTTCCGATTGTGTCCAAGCTATTAGCTTCCGTCATTCTTCGTAGGTTGTTCAAAACCCGAGAAAGATTGACTCGCGAGGAGCAGGCTGGGTTTCGTTCTGGTCGAGGATGTATTGATCATATCTTCACCCTTCTCCAAATGTTAGAACACCGTCATACTTATCACAGGCCAACAATCGTAGTGTTTCTTGACATCAGGGCTGCCTTCGATTTGTTGGACGGATCTACAACGCGTCGGTGAGAGCAGTTCTGTGAAACCTGGCCTCTCCGAGCTAAGGATGTTAGACGACTCTCTGTGTTCGATCATCGTTGTCTCTGAAGGATTGCTGACATCCAGTGGCAACACAATGTTAGTAATGCAGAGGTTCGGCATCGTGTGTTCGGGCACAGACGATAATGCAATTGGTGTCACCATCTTGAAACATCGACTTCGGTGGCTTGGACATGTTCTACGGATGTCGTCCCAGCGAATTCCACGTCGTGCATTATTTGCTGACTCTTAGACTGGTTGGAGAAAGCGGAGAGGTGGTCAGTGTATGACAAGGTGTCGGGGTATGAAAGAAAGCTACAAAGGACTGGCTTGTGTTGGTCCTTCACGACTCCCTGGTTGGGGTCCGAGAGATGGTACAACACAGTGGCTAGAGACGTTATCAGATATGTTTCAGAATAGAAGCCAGTGGCGATCCTGCTTTTCTTTACTTTCTTCGTAAAAAGTGGTTGTATCTTCCTTAACTGAAAGATTTCTTCTGATTGTAGCTTTCCGTTTACCCCATTATTATTATTATTATTGTTATTGTTATTACTACACTACCTTACACTAATCTGTGATCTTTATTGTTCTTTTTTTCTTATACGCACCTTACCTTTCTTTTTCTCTTCACATTCTCAATGTTTTGTGTGGCGCATATATATTTGGTGCCCCCTTGTACCAATATTTATGTGTCCAAATAAATATATAAATAAGTTGATCGAAGACATTAGACGAATATTGTAAAATATTACAGATTGAACGTAGAAGAGATTCTCTCGAGTTAAAGTATTTAGATGTTGTGATTCTGTTTTTTTAAGCTTCTGAAATAATGCAATCTTTTTGTCACTTCAAATATCGATCAAATAATGTCTCGAATGCATTTCCCACAATTTAAATGTAAAACTCTGATTCGGTACTGCCGAGTTGGTATGGAAAATCAATTGACGAGGTAATGAATCCTTATCGACATAGGTGGTTGCACCACTTATGTATTCTCAACCACTACCTCGACGGGTAATGTTTGAGTAGGTTGGAAGAATGGTAGGGGCGCTCAAATCAAAACAAGGCTTCAGTTCAGGAAAACTTTGACTGTTGGTTTGAGCCATTTGAGTTGATGTAAACTACCTAATTGAGGTCCACCAGATTGTCGTAACCAATGTTTGGGTCCTTAATTCTTGAAAAAGGATTTTAATTATTATAGTAATTTATATTTCTTCGAATCGTTTCTTGGATGTATAATTACAATCAATTATGTTACCACCTCTACTACGCTGGTATTTGTCTTGACAATTTCATCTGGCTCTAATAATGGAGTATGGCGATTTGGACCGATGTACTCATTTACCAAGTTCCACGTTGCATTTGACTGACTGGGAATAAAGAATGTGTATTATTATATTCCGACTTAGTAACTGGATGGTGTCGTTCTGTCGATGAGCCTTGAAAGTCTGACGTACGTATAAAAAAGTACAAAACTCCAAACTAAACCCTGTTTTCATTTAAGTTTATTAATAATAATTTGTTCAGTTGTTTGATATAAAGTCAACTTATTAGTAGGTAGTAAATAGTCGTCCATATTCTGTAGTTTAATTTATCAAATTATTTGTAATGTTGTATCCTATGAGTTAGACGATTTAATTGAAGAGCTTTTATTGTCATTCTGGATTATATCTTTAGCATCCATTTAAGATTGAATTTTTGTCTCATAATTAATATTTTGGACTGAATTTTGATCAATCTTTCTTGGTTTATATTGTTTACTAAATGAATGCTCTAATACTATCTTATGCTATATTTTAAAATATTTGAATTGTTGCTAACAGTGGGTTATTTGTTGAAGCTTGAAGAGATAGGCTTAAGTACCGGGTTCGAGTCTCATTTTAAACATCTACATTGAAGTGTTGGATTTATATTTATTCAACAGGAATTAAATACATTTATTTAAACCATTCAATTTTATGTTTTTTTAATAACTTACCTTCAAGTGTATGATACCATTTTCAATATATATATATATATATATATATATATATATATATATATATATATATATATATATATATATATATATATATATATATATATTGAAGTTTGACTGGAACCTGAAATCTGTACGTTTTTAAAGGCCTTACACAAGTCAACTTTTCATTATATCTCCTTAAAGAGTTGGAAGGCAGCAAATGCTTAGGCAGCCTAGACAGGTACTTTTAAGATCGGTGGCATTATTAACTAATCATATTGAAATCTAATTTACTTCATCTATCTTCTTTTGGTTAGATCTAGTTATTTATATTTCAGTGAAACCTATGATTTCTTTAAAAAAAAATTTAGTAGGAATAAATAGTGCTTATTTATCAGTCCGATTTCTTTCATCTATCCATCAGCTAATGCATGTCAATTAAGTTTTTGTTGTTAAGTATGAGAAAATTACGTATCTGACAAATATAACTCGCTTACGTAAATTGACTAACTTTATATATTTTCAAATTTAATATGAATCCATATCTATTACTTAAATTGTTCATGTTTCACGGTGAACAATATTGAAATTCTATAAAATTTACGTTCGAAAAGGGAAAAAAACAGTTGTATATTAATCTTGAATTAGAAGAAAATTTGTATGGCTACAATCATGAAAACCAGATTTTATTGATTATCGAAAGTTGTTTCTATACCGTTTTCTATTCATTGTTTTTTAGGTCAGTCTAATTAAAAAACAATCCTCATGAATCAATTAGGTAATAAACTTTCACATTGACTAGGTAATGATTTACAAAAATTAGTAATCTTGTTTTCATAGTCCTAGAATTTAGGATCTAAAGATAAAGATTTCAATTGAACTCAATTCAATTCAAGATTGCAAAAATTATGAGCATATCGACTGAAGTCATTGGAATATTTTTCGAATAGTTTTTGAGATTTTCAAGATTCAACTAGTTTTATTTTTGTTTTCTTAGATCTGCATTATGTCACCATGTCCATACAACCCATAATATGTGGTTAATTTTCCTGGAATTTCATGATTCACGTAAGTCTACTGCGAACCTGTATTCAATGAACTGTGTGATGTTAAAACGAACGAAAACAAGCCAAAAATGTCATTTGAACAATAGACTGCAGAGATTGAGATTAACACACTTTTGTTATTCTGAACACTAATTAACTGCGAAACGCCATATCACATTTATGCTTAGATCGAATCATTGATATAAAATGGTGAACATGAATTTAATTTAAAATATGTTGAAATTATCAAAATGGGGTTTTGTGGATATTGTCGTGATTTTTAATAGTTGAATTCATGAGTCAATTAAAGCTGAACCACCATTGAGAACATGGAAGCATTGGACTACCGTTTCGTCCCAGTATGGGACTCCTCAGCAGCGCGCACCAACGATCCCACATGTGGGACTGGAATCCAGGGCTTTCAGTACCGCGTGCGAACGCTTAACCTCTAGACCTCTGAGCTGAAATCCAACGGTGTTAATGTCTAACTTCGACAAAAATCGAACTTCCGGAGATTTGTATCCATAATGGCTAACTTTCAATGAAATAACAAAATATTACTTTGAATACCCTTAGATGTTATACCACAACATCTTTTGTTAAAGCCACAACTAAACCAAACAGTTATTAAGGTCTACGTTAGAAAGTTACGATGTGAATCATGAGTTTTTCCGTTTAGGGTTTTTTCCATCATTGTATACAGTTTTTTATTCTATTGTTGAGTTTAGAGCATGACCCTTGTTAACAGTATTTGTTGTCTGGAAATTGATTTTAAAATTGTATTGTAACGCTTATATATCTAAAGGATAGTAGTATTATTTACCTTAAAATCGTAGGTCAGCACAGAAATTTATACTTAGTTATTGATTCATGATAAAATTTAAAAAATAAAATTACGTCAACTAGTCTTTTATCTTTTGAAAATTTATTTGACAAGACAGTTGTTTGTCTCTATCCAGTCAATAGTGATTCAACACTGCATGTACTATGTTGAAATGTTATCTGGTTAGATGTAGTCGCTAAGGCATCCTAGACTGAGTCTTCGTGCTTGTTTGGTCTCGATAGGAAGGTGTACCTCTCGTATCTTGAAAAGACTAATGCATTTTTTAAGGAAACCTGTCGCATCTACCCGAAACAAAACTACATCCTATCTGTAAGCAGTTAGTCTACAGTTTTTTGAAAACATACACATATGATCCTCAATGCAATAAATAAATGATGACTTGGAAAACAAATTCAGTGAACTGAAAATTGTCATGAACTACAAGTATGTACAGTTATTATTGTCGTCTTATAAATCAGATCATTTTAAGTGCAAGTATATTGCTTACCTTAATGATTCTAACGCCAAAAAGATGATGTCGTTAAACGTTGTCGAGTTTATAAGATACACCATTTAGAATTTTAATTGTGAACAGTCATGTCAAAAATCGACATCATCTTATCAATTTACCAATTTTACAATGAATTCGATCGTTTGACGAATTTGTAAATTTCGTTAGACGTGAAAAGTTTAAGATCTTTAACCTGTCTATCGATTACGTCTTTACTTCACAAAAACAAAGCAAGCAACTTATGTGACTTAAGTAATCCGGAAAAGTGTAAGAACATATTGTTTTTAAAGAAATTTGGAAAACGTTTAAATCCACTATTCAGCTATGCACTGTCATGTATAAAATAACATGTTGATGTATGAATTAGTAAACTGAAGTAGATCTTATTGAACTACTATATTCTTTTACAAAATCGTATTGTTGAATGAAGTACACGTACAAATGTTGATAAATCAGTATTTTTCAATTTTAGATTACGCTACGGGTTTCATCAGTACTCTCAACTTGTCATTGATGTCGTAACATTGTGTGAATTGTTCTTTTTAACGAACGATCTCTCTTTCTGATTATAGGAATAATGCAAAGGACTCAATAAGATTTTTATTTTCATTGGTGATCTGAAGAGAAAACTTACGGAACCCTTAGAACATTATTGAATAAAAATCTATGGATTAGGAAACTTTATTTGTTTATGATTGCTAGTATGTATGTTTCAAGTGGATAAGTCTCAGATGGACTTAACAAATTATCAAACAGATTTATCTTATTTTTTTACTGTAAATCATTTATTGCTTTACATATATTCGTAAAATCAGAGGAACTACTTATTTAAAGAGGATACTAAGACCGATCAGAATTTAAATAAATTGAAGGTGATAAAAAAGCGCCAATTTATTGCAAAACATCATACAATATTTGGATAGATTGTGCTTATGGACTGGAAATTTTATGCTAATAAAAGCATAATATATAATCCATCATATTTTTTAAAAACGTTTGTTCAAAGCACTGATATATTTGTTATAATGAGAAATAAATATAATAATAATAATAATCATAAACAGTTTACTTATGTTCATTGTAGTTTACTTCTGACCAACAGAATCTTATATATGTGTATCTATCTCACTAATGCATCTATCATAGAATCACTTTAATTAAATTGTCTCCTAGACATATCTTTCTTGTTTTCTATTTTTCATGTTACATTTCTTAAAAGAATCAAACATAAATAATACTGATGTATAAAAAAGAAAAATAAAGAATTATAAATATCTTTTATAAGTGTGAAAGGCTTTTAGATTTTGTCAAATAGAAAGTACAGTATTTAAAAAAAGAAGGAGTAAGTTGTTATAAAGCTAAAAATAACGAAGATAGTAACAATATCTTTGTTTTAATCACATGAAATATTTCATTTATTTTGTCTACAATAATTATTATTTAATATTGCACGTCTGATATGACTGAACTCTATCAATCACAACTTCTAACTAGAACTTCAAAACTTTATTCTCCGTTCTTTTGTTGGTGTTCACATGATTATAATTTTGATAAACGGTTTTTGTGGATATTCATGTAATATATATTGGAAATTCGGGTGTTTTTTTTCTATCAATAGCAAAATGTCATTCTTGAAGTCTATAATATGGTGAACTACAGACGATTTTTGTTGTCTGTCAGTATCCAAGATAATGATAACAGTTATGATATTTGGGACATATATATATATATATATATATATATATATATATATATATATATATATATGACTGAGTAGTGACCAATATCATCTTTGTGTATTCCTTTCATTGCAACTTAAACTAATGGCCTCATTGCAACTTGCTTGACAAGATCTGATCAACACTGAAAGAACTAAATAAATATAACATTGGTCACGTTTTAGCTAATAGTCAATTGTAAATACATCTCAGGCCTACGGGAGATCAGTTGTGGTCTGAATATCTTAGTTGTAAAGTCTCAGACTGTGAGGCTGATACGGGATCGAACCCGTTAAGCGAAACCAGTTTGTTCATGTTTGAAACCTAGATAAACGGCTTCCTGTCGACTACGCCTAAATAGTTTAAGTATACTAAAAGTGAGATCTATTATAAATATGGATTACTTTAACGTCTAATTTCTAATTGAAATATAAACTATACATGCATGATAAACCACAATATATAATACAGGGAAAGATCATTTTAAGTATCACTTACTGAATAAAAGTATAATTTCATATTTTCACATAATCATATCATTTAGTCCTTTTAAGAAAACAAACGTCTAGTATTTCTCATACATGTTGTCGTGAGATTATAAATTAATTAATTACGCAAATTGAACCGTTATTAAGATCTAGAATGTATTATTTCTTCTCATGTTTGTACATCATTACATTGATAGTATTGTATTTTGTTAAGAAATGATAAAAAGATTATTCAAGTAAGAATAAATTAGACATTATAGAGTATTATCTGCGAACATTCATTTCATTAGTATCCTTGTTCACTTATACTGTAGAGGTGGTGAACAATAGATATTACTTGTCTAGATAATGTCACTATCGATAGAAAAATGATAGATGTCTGATAAAAGAAATTCACTGACTAACTTTAGGTCATTATTGTGTGTTGATATGGCATACTATATGGAGATTTTAAGCAGTTATTTTATCCTATTTTTTATAAAATGTATTATTTGACTGAATAAATAATGAGCTTTTTGTTGGTAAGTTGTTCTGTTGTTCAGACATCTGTTTGTTTGACAGCTTAGTGATGATAATTTGGTTTTTGAGATTATTCGTCACTTGGACACTTCATATATATATATATATATATATATATATATATATATATAACCATTAAATCTCTGGTCCAAACCCCGGTCCGCCTACTTTGGTACAGATAACCCGCTGGCATCATTAGTTCTCACAGGTAGTGTGACTAATAATTAAGTAATTGATGAATGAGTTAATTTATCTTATTTATTTTTTGACGTTAAGAACTGAGTTTTCATCACAAACATACCTAATTGGACATGTCAATGGTCAAGTGAACTTAGTGGATAGAGTATTGGGTATTTAAAGTGAGAGATAAAAGGTTCGAGTCTCAATGTGAACAGTAATAGTGGGGTACAGGTATATCCAGATGTCAAATTATCACTAGTAATGAACTTTCTTTCAGAAATTCACTGTTAGCTATAATCTATCTATTCTCATTAAGATTCATTTGTTTATTTCAAGTTATATAAATAAAACAGAGTTTTTCTTCATCTTCATTTGTAATTTTCTCATTTGCCAGAAATTTATCGAGAAGGTAAAATACAGTTAGTGAATCAATTTCTTTTTTAAAACTGTGGCTAAAGGAAAGAAAGACGTTAAGCCAAATAAAATCAGTTTGAATGACCATTGAAAAAAGTGTAGTAACATACTATGGATAAATAAAAATCACTTATGGATCGATAGTAACTGTTTATTTTACCATATATTTTCTACGTTTAGTTTATAAATGGATCCGTTTAAATTTCATAGAAAGTGATTCACTAAAATGTAATGATTAGTTTTGTATTATAAACAAAAGTATACTGATTATGTTATTATGTTAAAAATGTTGGTTTTGTGAAAATGTTTTATAAAAAGCAGCAGTACAGCTGAA